AACTCGAATACACCTGGCCATGAACACTTAGACGAACAACCTGGAGAATGACGTAAACAACGCTATATATAGGGAACACTGGCCGCAAAATGGATTTACAACCATAAACCTGTTTATGGCCGTAAACACCAATCCATGTCGTAAACAACCAAACACCCCCAAAATACACAAAATTGACTCAATAGACCCTATACAATAGAAAGCCTAGACCAAACCACAGACTGGACCCTTCATTTTCTGAATAGTGTGGTTTGAAAAACTATGGTTAAATGTCCATCATTAACCGTTAAGAATGTTGGCTATTCACATGCATGTATTAAGATTATGGCAATGAAATAGTGACAAAGGAAAAACAGAGCATGCTACTTTAAAGCTTGAAGCTTTTTGTTCACTTAACAGAAAGGAGGTGATACCCTCAACGTACACCTAAGCAAGCTATTTAAATACAAAGAATGCTAAAAATACCGCAACTAATCCTACTAGCTTAAGACACGGACTCAACAGCCCACATGGCTTTGAATTATTCAAAAACAATAACACGTGACATAAACTAATTTATGAATTACACCTACATATTCCACCCTAATTTAGAAAAGCATACCTACATTACACCAAGGAGACTTCGTATCTCCTCAAACTTCATTCTTCCAAATGATTTGGTTAGAACATCGGCCTTCTGTTCCTTGCTACAGACATAACTGACTAAAATGTCTTCTTTCTCAACACATTATCGGATGAAGTGGAACCGGATATCTGTTTGCTTACTTCTCCCATGGAACATTGGGTTCTTCATTAAATCTAATGAAGATTTGTTGTCGACCTTCAGCTCAACAGGCGGCACCTTTTGTCTGGTTATTTCATTGAGCAATCTTCTGAGCCAGATTCCTTGACAGGCTGCCATGGTGGCAGCCATAAATCTTGATTCACAGGTAGAGAGTGCCACACACCTCTGCTTCTATGATGCCCATGTGATCAAGTTTTCAATCATGTAGAACACCATGCCACCTGTTCTTGTTCGATCATTGATATCATTTGCTAAATCACTGTCTGTGTACCCTTTTAGTGTGACATTTTCCTTCCATTTTGAGTACTTCAATCCATAATTCAAAGTGCCCTTCATGTATCTTAAGATACCCTTCACTGCCTGTAGATGATTCACAGTTGGCTTCTCCATGGACCGACTTACAATTCCCACGACAAAGGATATGTCTGGCCTGGTATGAGTTAGATACCTTAGCCCACCAACTGTGATTGGATATTTTGTGGGATTCACTGATTCAGATTCATTTTCTTTCTTGCGCTTGAGCTTATTTTCCATAGGGGTCTTTGTGGGATTACGGTTTTGCATACCTGTTTTAAAAAGTAGATTCTTGGCATAGGATTCCTGTTTTAGTGTAATTCCATCTTCTTTTTGGTTCACTTCAATTCCCAAGTAATGAGTTAGGAACCCCAAATCACTCATTTCAAACTTGGTGTTCATCTCCTTCTTGAACATCTGAATACTTTTAGGGCAGCTTCCTGTTACAATTAAATCATCTACATACACTCTTACAATCAGTATGTGTTCATCATACCTCTTGGTATAGACAGAGTACTCATGGGCATACCTTGTGAAACTGATGCTCTTTAGATGTCAATCCAGACAAGCGTTCCAACTCGTAGGGGCTTGTTTGATCCTGTATAGAGCTTTAGATAGCTTGTACACCTTGTGAGCTTGGCCTTTCTTGTGACATCCCCAAAATCACGGCCAGAAAAGACCGATTTTGTTTATGCTTTATAAAAATCAGAGTACTTCATTTTATAAAAAGGTTGCGGAATTTGTTCCCAGAAAAACATGGTAAATACGTTATTAAAACATTTTCGAAGAAACGTATTTATTTCATTTTAAAATGTTTGGGATGTCATCGTTAATACCGAAACATAAGCATAAACAGAACTTACAATGATTTACACTAGTGATCTACATCTCTTTTAAATCTCTCAGTGTAATGTCACTTCACTTCGTCACCTGTGATATACATAAACTGAGTGGGTCAGGTTGGGAAACCTGGTGAGTACATAGGGTTTTCAACCCACAATAATATAATTACTATGTTCAATCAAACAATCAACCCAATTACCCATCCCCATTATCTTCTTTACTCTTTAAGGATTTAACCTAAGAGTCATCTATCCTGCATTCGTTTATTCCGAAGTCCCTTACCTCCAGGGTTATAGGACTGACACTAAATCCATAGCTGCCAATGTTCGTTCATAAAGCACTAATTCCATAGCTGCTATGGTCTATTCATCAGGTACTAAATCCATAGCTACCAGTCTTTATCTAATAGGTACTAAGTCCATAGCTACCAATGTTCAACAGGTACTAAGTCCATAGCTACCAATTCCCAACAGGTACTAAATCCATAGCTACCAACGTTTAACAGGTACTAAGTCCATAGCTACCGGTGTTTGTCCCATAGGCACTAAGTCTATAGCTGCCAATGTATCATCTTCTATCTCTCATCATTCATCTACCCATCTCATACCCAACATATTCGTATATATAAAATACGTATACAGCTTAAATTCTTTAAAACATGTATAAAACGTTCATCCAGCATAGACAACAAGTATTCAGATAATATGCACACATAGCACGTAGTTTATATAAAATACTTCATATCTATGTGTAAGATGAAAAGGACTATGCACTCACCTGAGAAGGTGGTGACTCGGTACTCGGACAGCGCTTCGTTTACTTTAAAATAATTTCCTTTGACGAAACCTAATATTATCACCACTAGATTTTAGTCTAATATTACCGTCACTAATTATTAGTCTTATTATTATTATTATATAAGCGTTTAAACAATACTTTCCAACTACTATGTACAGACAGGGGCCAGACATAAAACACCGGAGGGCAGGACCATTTGGCGTATAGCACTTCTGAAATCCAACAACCCTATGCGGCCCTTTAAACCAGATTCCCGTACCGCGAGTAGTTAAAAGATATTATAACGACACTTATATAAGTCATAATAATAGCTCAAATATTTATTATAAATTTATAATAACAATACTAATTTTAAATATAAACTATATTTAAAATAGGGTAAGCATAACTTACTTTCAAGGGGATTTTAGCTAGGAGTCGGGCTCTGCAGGGGCAGAACTTCATCGCTGAATCTTTCTAAGAAAGATTCGTGCAGCGCTTCAGCGCTCACCTTACTATACTAAAACTACAGAAAGAGAAGTCGAATCACGAGGGACCGAAATGCTCGGGGATAAGGAGAGAAAGACTCTTGAATCAAGAGAATGGTGCAAGAAATATGAGAGCCCAAGGCTCTTATTTATACTAATTGAATTTTCAAAAACTACCCTCCATAATTACTTAATGACCTTTTAGTTATATAAACAACTAAACACCCCTCTATAATACTATTTTAAATGGATTTAATGATATTTGTACTAAACTAATGTCGAAAGAACTCAACATTAGTCTTATAATGACCGCATCGTCGATACCTTTCTAATGATATATACATATGTATATATATGTGTACGTATACATGATTTATACTTTATTTTAATACGTAAATATGCTATTATAATTTGTAACTCGTTCATACGAACTCCGTTTTTGACGTTCTTTATATCCACGCGTAGGTGGAGACGTACTCTACAACTTTCGTTTAGACTCCGTCGGCTAATTTTGACTTTATTTTTAAAGTTATATTTTTAACAGGCCGGGACAGGATTGGTCCGTTAAAATCTCATAACTTCTTTATCCGATGTCCATTTTCGTCTGTCTTTTTATCGTTACGCTACTAATAACGAGATCTTCGATTCTTGTTTAGGTTGTGTCGGCTAAAAATCAATCGATCTAAAATTCGAATTTCGGGCTGTACACCGCTAATCCGAAACTTCGAAAAATCATAACTTCTTCATACGAAGTCAGATTTGGGCGTTCTTTTTATCGATGTTCTTAGTTTAACATATTCTACGACTTTCGTTTAGAGCGCTAAGGCTAAATCTCTCTCTATCATAAATTTACTATTTACGCTTCCCGGCGCCGTGCCGGTTCCGACGCGAAACTTCGACGGGTCATAACTTCTTCGTTATAACTCGGATTTCGGCGTTCTTTATATGTACGGAAACCTTGTGACATATTCTACAACTTGGTTAAGATTATTTATTCTAAATAATCTTTTTGTCGAAAAGTCGTTTTTGACCCCTATTGCCTTTAAATTGACTAGCCCGGATCTGCGGGCGTTACAATTATCTCCCCTTAGGATGATTACGTCCCGGAATCATCAACGAAAAAGGGCTCGTATAATGACTCCATACGTCATCTCTTCATCCTAGGTAATAATTATAACTTCTATATTCCTTCAAGTCTATCTCTTAGACTCATTGACTGTAAGCAGTACTCGATCGTGCACCTGCTCTCTACCTCAGGCTAGACTTTAAATTATGACCTATCATCATGTGATGCACGTTTAGACTTAGGTCTCTTAGAGTTAAATTCTAAAATAGACTATGCCTTCCTTCATGTTCTAATGTGATATAATCACACTTTAACATGTAGCGTTTCTGGCTACCAACTTCTTTAACAACGAACGCGATACTTCTATTGATCGCTTTGATTTCAATTGTTTGGTTTAAGTCGGACGCTACATTGAACTTGGTTCCCTAAACCACGCAACATACTCATCGTAGTCGGACTCAATTTGGTATGACCAC